TTCGAGCATCCATAGCTATATAGTTCAGCTACCTAACAAGCTCAAACTTGAAAAACAACTTGGCTTCGAGTCGGCTTCGAGTGATCCCCGCCCTTACGAATTACTCCGACACCGCTTCTGCCATATCACATGGAAATCTGGAACTATTTGTTGCATATCCATTCTAACTTCTAACATTCTATCTGAGATTCTTTCTAGCATATACTCAGACATTCTTTCGGGCATTCTATTTGGCATCTCCTCTGACATTCAATCTGGCATAAATTCTGGCCGATCTGGAGCCTGCCATAGGGGTCGAACGGTTCGGGCTCGTGCCTGCCCAGGCTGGCAGTCTTTCTGACATAAACCTTGGCATTCTATCTGGCATCTATTTTGACATTCTATCCCAGTCTATTTCTCAATCCTTCTATGGCAAATATTCTCACAATCTTTCTGGTGGTCTATTTGAGTCTATCTGGCATCTATTGTGACATTCCATCTGGCTGGCATATACTCTGACATTCTTTTTGCCATTCTTTCAGGTATTCTGTTTGCATTCTATCTGGTATCTATTCTGGCATTCTACCTGGCATCTTTCCCGGAGTCTATCTGGCATCTAGTCTGACATTCTATCCGGCATTCTGTCTGCCATATTCCCACATTCTTTCTGGCGGTCTATTTGGCACACCTTGGCATTCTATCTGGCATCCAGTCAAGCACTCTACCTCGCACCTGTGTGGCATTCTGTCTGGCATGCATCTATTTTCACATTCTTTCTGGCATCTTGTTGGCCGCATTTGTTCTCTGACATTCTATCTGGCATCCGTTCTGGCAGGTAATGTGACGTTTTCTCTGACATGTGTTCGGATCTGTGCATGCCCAGCCTGACCCGGAGCTTGCGATAGTGTCCATGTGTGTCCAGACTGCCCAATGATCTGGAGCTTGCGGAGCCCGCCATAGGGTTCGGCGCGGGTCCTTGCGTGCCCAGGACTGAGCCGGCTACAGATTGCTGCACTTGAGCTGCGCTGAACTTGTTATGAGGTCTGGTTCCGCTGGTGCCCACAGTGACGACGAGCTGGCGGGAGAAGAAGAAAAAGAAGAGGAAGAAGAAGAAGAAGAAGGAGAAGAAGAAGAAGAGGAGCCGCATCTTTCTCAACATCTAGAGACCCTCACCTGGCAGGTGGGAACTTAACTGGTACAGTGCAGGGTTAATTACATGCATGGCGCTGTGAAAGGAAGAGACGACTGGCCAAGAGAGCCGCGTGGCTTACCTATCTACATCTAATCTATTTATTTTTGGCTGTTGTGAGTAAGGATTGAACGTGCATATCTGCATTTGGCTGGGGTGACCGAATTCAAAAATCACAGCATTCAGGGGATGCTGGAGCCACTTGCACCCTGAAGTAAATGCAGTGCACGCTGGCATCTGAAGAGATGCGACCTGTGCCTGCCTGCGTCCAATTCAAACCACAACAATGTCCAGACCAAAGAAAGCAACAAATTCTGATCACTGCAGCCAGAAGCAGCAACACACAACACACAACACTGTTCTAAACTCCCAAAGCAACAAACTCGGACAGCGAAGGCAAAGGCAACAGCACAGAACAACAGAACCTAGAATCTTGGATCTTGTCTGGCTGACCTCTCATTTCAACAAGTGGTGACCACCCTTCATTGCTTTCAACGTTTCTTGCACACTGTTGGTGTCCTTCTTCTTCTTCTTCCTTCCAATGGTTGATTCTTTTCCTTCAGCTTCCAGCTTTTGCTCACGAAGATCAAGAGCGGCTCCTACACCGCATTTGACTGAAGCTTTTTTAATTTGAACCTTCGATCGGGAAGCCCGGGCAGCAATTTCCTCTGCAGTCATGGGGCGCAACAATGGCCGGGGCGTTTCCGATGGCTCTTGGCGCACCTTCAACCTCAAGAATCGCCGACGGTAAAATGGCCAAAAAAGAACGTAGCACTGAACACAGCCAAGCGCATTGTTCGCAACAGGCCATGTGCAACAATATCTATGATATCATATCTATATTTGTGGATAGCTTACAAGCATGATGGATGCCAGAAGCACTGCAACAGCAGCAACGACGGCTTACGTGAAATATGGCAACTGTGGCAACTGTGAGAATGTGAGAAACAGTGGGTTAGATATATAAAGGCTTGCCACAAAGAAAGTGCGTAGGAAAAGAGGGGAGTGAGAGAAACAAAAGACAATGCCAGAAATAAGGAAAAAGAAACAAAGAAAGAAAGAAGGAAGGAGGAGAAAAAGAAAGAGAAAGATAATGAGAAGGAGAGGGAGAAGGGGGAAGGGAAAGGGAGAAAGAAAGAATTGGGGAAAGAGAGAGCAGGAGAGAACAAGCGGGAGAAACAGAGAGAGAGAGAGAGAGTTGAGAGAGAGAGAGAAAGAGACAAAGAAAAAATACCAAGAAACAAGACAAAGAGAGGATAGAGAGTCACACAGAGAAAGTCGGGAAGACGCAGACACAGAGACAGAGGAGACAGAAGCGAGAGGGACAGACCCACAGCGAAAGGAGGCAAGGCGAAGAAAAGGTTGCTACACACACAAGCTTGTTCTGTGGGCGCATGCCAAGGAGCAAGTGAAGCTTGAGCTGAATCTCCATCACCTCCGGGACGCGCGAAGGCCCAAACATCAACTGCCCACTCTCCTTCCTCCGCCATTGCTGAAGGCTGGGCGGGAGAGGAACCGGAGCTGCTAGCATTGGAATCAAGCCTCCCTCATCAAAGCTCTCCTGATCCGACTTGCTGCCAAAAGAACAATCCTCATCATCCTCATCCTCACGGCTGGCATTGCTGCCTCCACCCGCACCTTCATTGTCATGGGGCACATGGGGCTGCTCGTCACCGGCATTTTCATGGGATTCCTCAGCCTTGTCAGGCACGGTCTCTGCAGTCTCTGCCGAGGTAATGCCATCAGCTGGAGCAGGGGCAGCTGCAGCAACATGTCCAACTGCAGGCGTCCCTGCCTTCAAATGTGAATTGCCCCTGGCCTTCCGCAACTTGCCTCTCACTTTCCTCAACCTTGTTTGGACGGATTTGGACTTGCTGATGGTCTTTCGCAAAGTTTCGACTGCAGCGACTCGCTTGGCATCAACTTTCTTCAGAGTCTCATTTGCTTCTACGTGCGTCACATGAGGATGGTCAAGCGAAACCTCCCCCGACTCTGTCACAAAGGCTGGAATACTGATTGAGCCAAGTTCCAACGTCGCCAAATCTGCCTTTGGAGTTGACTTTGCGAGCCATGCTGGTACAATGATATCACCTGCTGGAGGTGAAGCTGTTGGGTGAATGAAAAACGTGAGGCCGTTCTCAAACTCCACAACTGGCTTGCAGCTCGGCGACGGCTCAGTGGATATGGGCCCGCAAAACATGAGCTCCATGTCTTCCGGGGCGTTCAGGAGCACAACCTTCTCTGACTTCAAGCCTGCTGCGGCAGCATCTGCCACAAAGAGAACATGCTTGTCAGACTCGCGGGATTTCTCCAAGTAGAGGCTCCAAAGTAAGGATTCCAAGCTCTTCTCAAACACCTTCACCCAGGAGGCGGTGATTCTGACTGAAGGAAAAAATTGGCTGTCCTCAGCCTCGCACCCATGCAGCAAGTTGTGCATGCTCGAAAGGGGAATCAATGCCTTCTTCAGCTCCGCATTCTCCTCCTGCACCAAACACTTGGAACAAGACTTGGAATCCAACTGTCATGAAAGCACATATATGCGTATTCAATAACATAACATGGCTCTCTAAGTCAAAGATCCCCGGCCCCAGCGCAGCCCCAGCTCACGCAAGCTCCTCAACTGGATCATCATCAATTTCCGTGGGAGCGGCTGCGACTGCACTGCGCGCTTTCGCAATCTCATCGGCGCCATCACTAGGCTTCGGGTTGCTGGGACCACCTTCTTCATGTCCAGGGGCAGGCACTTCAGGGCTGCAGGCGGATCGTGGTTCTTTCCCCTTTGCTGCTACGGTGGTCACTCCGCATAGCTCCCTCAATAAAGTGCTTGCCTGCTGTGGAGTTGCTGGGCCCTTCGAGAGAAAGTCCAGCCATGCGTCCACCCACTTGGAATCACCTGCTTGCGCAAGCTCCTGCAGGCGGCAAGAACCAAAGCTTTAAAACTTGATTGGGAGGTAGTTGTGTGCCTCTAGGTAAAATCATTTCGCAAAACTCGGGAATGTATTTCAAATGGCCAACAGCTCAGTGCCCTATCTAATGCTGCCACAAAACTCCATCAAAGCCAGACAAAGCGCCGATCAGCTGCATGTCTGACCCCTTGTCGTCGGCAGGGGAACACGCTGGAGAATCCACAGCTGCAGCCAAAAGGACGATGGACTTCTGGCTGTCGTCGCTGCACTTCATTTGCTTCATTTGCACAAGATCTTTCAAGCCCATAAGAATGTACTTGGCGCGCATGCTGCAAAAGTGACCCAACTGTTCTTCAGACTGAAAGAGCTTGCCAGTCTCCTCAACAAACTTGCCAGCTGCCTTGTACAAGAACGCCGTGCTCGTAGCAAAAACGACCCAGTTTGCAGGGATCACCTTTGCTTCGGAGAAAACTTCAAAGAAGTAGGCGAGCTGATCTCGGAAAGTCTTCAAGTCACCAAACTGCTTGAACCTGGTTCCCAATGCCTTGCGAAAGATTGCAAACTGGTCATGCATTGACGGAGGCAGATGCAGCTGGCCCTCGAGGAACGCTCGCACATCGGCCATCAAAATTCTTGATGAAGCTCAGCATGCCCTCTTCATCTCCACCATCAGTGGCATCCAACGCCACCTCACTACCCCAGAGCCCAAGGAGACTATATAAACAAAATCTGGGTTTAAGAGTTACAAGCGACATTTTATGAGTTGCGGGCCTGTTGCCGCGCCTCTACAGAATGCCTGGACCAAAGTGGTGGCACAGTTGAAAATATCAGTCCAGTGCTTCTATTCTAATGACTTGATCATTGATCAGCGCATGTGAAATTTAGTGACAAAAAAACGACGCCCTTGACGCAGGAAACGCCCCTGTCTAAACCCGCTGCAGGTGAGATGCGGGCGTGTTCACCATCGACATGAGGTTCTTGGCCAAATGCAATGGGTCAAAGCTTTCCTTACCGATCTGAATCCGTTGATGCGCAGCGACGAAAACCTTCTGGCACTCGTCCCTGAAAGAGGAATATGTCTTGAAGATCTTGCCGTTCACAGCCACCGAGGAGGTCCAAGCAAGTTCGAGGAAGAGCGAGACCAGGAAATGCTTGCTACGCGAAGCTTCATCGTCTGAAATCTTCACAGCAAGGTTCATGCGGGCAAAGCGGATGGAACAAAGGAAGTCGTCAAGGGCCGTCTTCACTCTAGAGTCTTGCGGCGATGACCTGTTGGAAATCGTTGGCTTGAAGTCGTCACACTCGTCGAGTTCTAAGGTTGGTTTCGCTTCTTGCTGCGCTCTTTCCTTTGCTACAGCAGCGGCTGACTTGGGTTTCTTGTTCTTGTTCTTGTCCTTGGTAATCTGCTTGAGAACCTTTCTGGACCTTTCTTTCTCTTTGTCGGCCTTGAGTGCGTTGATGGCCGCATCTACATTGGGCTTGCCACACATAGAGGCAGCAGCTCCATGGACTCCATGGTCATCTGATGAGCCTTCTCCACCGTCATCCTGAGATTGCTCTTCGCCCTTCTGCTCAGCAGTGTTCTCCTCAAACTCCTCCCCGTCGCCATTGCCAATGGAAGCGCCGGTCGTGAGCTTTCTCTTGATGGCTTCGTCTTCTGCTTTTTGCTCCTGTGCGGATGGAACAAGGGTTAAACAAAACAAGGCAAGCCAACTGGAGAACAAGACTTGAAACAAAGGTGCAAGTGCCAGACGCCAGCACAAGTTCATTCGTCTGTGTGCAATGTGTGGGCTCGCATGAATCATGAAAAGTGCAACTGTCCGTCTGAGTCCATCTGTTCACTGCTATAGCTTTCAATGCTTCACTACAAGTTGATCATATTTCACTGATCCCGCCCTCGGCTCAAAAACCCAGGACGCACACACACACACAGGAATGCCAACTCACACGACAACACGCGCACACACACACACACTGCCCATCAATCCCCAACCTTCTTCTTCAGCAGCCTTTTGAAGGTGACGGACTCTCCCATTGGAATGGTCACATTGGCCATGGCTGCACGTGCAGCAGGAGCCAAGAAAGGCGATGGAATCTGCCGGTGAGCTCCAGTCCCAATCGATGGCACCTGCAACAAATTGCAAACACACTTGGAAAACAAAACGCTCAAAATACCAAGGTGTGGGGCTGGCGGTGTTGATCCCATTTCCCTTTGCCCTGTGCCCACGTTTGCCGTTCGAGCCAAGGCGCGCAGAATTTCAAAGCTTCAATGAGAACCACCTTCAGATCCGACTTGCTGTGGAAATTCCTCATGCACTTGACGATGAGGACGGCCATTTGGTTCATCGCCGAGATGCATACGAAAGGAGTAGTGGAAGATTTCAAGAAATCACCATGGGCCAGGTACCATTCTTGGAAAGCTGCTTGCGCATCATACGACTCAAGAGTGCGAGCCAGCGCCTTTGCTTCACTGAAATACTGCACAGAGTCTGCAAAAAGTTCTGACTCACGCCGGACAAAAGCATCGTACATCTTTTGGTAATTCTCATGATGAGTTGTAATGGCATCGGCTGCGCACTTCCTTTTCCACGCAGCCTCCACTTTCATTGCTTCTGCCATGACACCCAGTGCCGTCTCACCAGACCCTGAGTGATGCTTGTTGTGTTCGCTGCAAAGCCAATTCACAATGTAGTTGGGGGTGGCCTTGTGCAAGATTCTGCAGCGCCGGAGCCCTTGCTTGAGACTTTGCTGAACCATTGGATGGTTCGGATCTTTCTCAAAAGCATTGTAAAATGCTTCGCGTCTGTGATTGAAGGACAAGGCCAGCAGTGGGTAATTCTGTTGACGCGGTCCATTAGACCACCGAAGCCAAGGCAGTCCTTAACTTCAAAACTGACTGATGGGCCCGAAGGTTTGAAGCCAGAATCTCTAAAGCAAAATCCTAAGCTGACATACCTTTATGCAAACACTTAAGGGCATCGCGCCAATGCTCCCCACATGTGCCCCGTAATTTTGAAAACAAGCCTTTGACAGGTCTAACTTACTTCTTGTTCACAATTTCCCAACACAGTTCCAACACCACATTCATTACTGATGTTACTTGTAATGGACCAAAGGAAAGTCTCGAATCACACCAGACCTATCAAGTCCCGTGCCTGCACGCATCTACATAGAAAAGCAAAAAAATCCTTATCCGGCAAGCATCCACTGCAATCCACAGCCAATCCTGATTCGAAGATGCGGCGTTCGTAGTCCCGAACGGTGCTTTGTTGAAGCGGGCGATTCAGCTGGTCTGAAATCAAAGTCGGGCGTGAATCCTGCTGGAACCACGGGACGTCAACATATTCGTCTTTCGGGTCACCAAAAATTTGGAAGATCTTCTCGATGCGGGCCGCGCCAGTCGCATCAGCAAAGACTTCCTCAATATTCAAGTCATTCTCCCACACATGTGCTGGATCCTGTGTGACTGGTGGATTGGCACCGGCACGCTTTTGGCGTTTCTGGCCTCTGGCGGCAGCAGCACTGGGGCTGCTTGCGTCGCTAGGAACTCCCTTCAGGGTTCTGGATGCTGCGCTCTTGGAAGGCGCCGGCATGTGTGGGCTGTGGCCACTCACCCCAGGAGGCACTTAAGGAAGGGACAAAGTTGGTCGCGAGGTCCACCCGATCTGGCTTAGCAAATCAGAAACTAGGACTCCTCTGGCGTGGCTGCTCACCCGCTTGGAAAAGCAAGGTAAACAAACTCTCGGGCTTGAGCAGACATGGGATATGGGACATGGGCTTATTGTCTCTGTGTGAGCAAATGGATCGGAAAAACATAAACTGACATGGGTTCTTCACGCTGTTCAAACAGTGGGGCTCTTTTGTCATGATGTCCACACCCATGGAGCTCTGCGTCTACACAAACGAAACTTCAGCAAAACCGCTAGGCCTATCTTGTGTGTGAATTGAGATGTGCCACAACACACCCAATTGGTCCATTGAGTCAATGAGCCCCGCACATATTGAATTCTGCAGTGGCCAAAGCAAGACCTGAGCAGCACCAGCTTTGCCACCTGCTATAAAGCTGCTAGCATGGAAGAGAAAGGAGCATCTCCTGTCCCACTGGTAACAACATGATACGTCACAAACACAGGGAACGCAGCTACTGCTGACAGCCGTTGTTTAAAGAAAAAAAGGAGGTGACTTGAATTGAATTGCATTCTTGAACCGCGGCCATGTTTGCCACTTGTGGAGAGCTTGGTTTGTTCAGCTTTCAAGAAAAGTGGCTTGCGCTATGCGCAGAGACAGTGAAACCTCCACAGTGCATATGGCATCTTGCCGGCACTGCACTGACTGTACCGAGCACGCTGCTGCCCGCTCAGCTCAATTCCAAATACATACATTTCACATGGGAAAGGAAAACAGAACCTGCATCACCCTTCCAGCGGCCTTTCCATGGCCAATTACATGGATCTTGCAAGCAACTGAAAACACAGGTCACCAAAATCACCAAAATCCTCAATCATGCTGAGCTTGCAGCAGCACACGTAGTTTGTGTGTCAGGTGTGTTAGGTGCAACCAACCGCACAACAGCCAAACCTGTGTGCATTTCCTTCGCATTGGATCGTCTGGGGCAAAATGCCGATGTTCGCAGACAGATCAATTGACAAGTTCGCTTACCCTTCAGGAAATGTCCTGAGCTTCTTCACTGGGAGCGGATTTATACCGCCTTCTCCTTTTGACTACCTTCTTCTGGCCGTGGTCAGCATGCCTGTCAGCCGCACTGTCTGCAGCCTTGCTTGATTGCGACTGCTGCATTTGAATGCTGGCACTGCGGAATAGCGAGATCTCTGCCACAATCCTTCGCAAGGAAGGAAAGAAAGATACACTGCTGGGAACATTGGACTCAACAATAGGCAAGAGCGGCGGTAAGTGAATGAAAAGAATCGCAAGGAGGAAAAAAACATAAAAACATATAAAAACAAAACAGTAAACATGCAAGTTGTAAACAAAGTCTGCAGACTAGCTGTCCTGTCCGTTTCAGCTGACGGCTGCCAGCATACTGCAGAGTGCAAGGCGCAGATAAACGGGCAAACAACGTTCATGCTGTTGCCTGCCTGCGCACAAACTTGTCTAGCCTTTCGATCCGGTCGCTTGAAATTGTAGCAAGAGATCTTCCAATCAGCATGGAGGATTGGGTGCACAGGGAAGGACTGCCCCAGCAAGCATTCTGTGGGTAGCAGCCACCTCGAACAAGCCCTCTCAGTAAGGTACGGAGCTGTTGAAAGGTAGCTGTCCTTTCCCAAAGCTGCCGCAGGCTGATGAGCTCTGTCAACCCAAATCCTGAGGCTACTGCAACCGACCCTGGCAAATACATAGAGAACATCACACGTCAGAAATCACATCAGTCCGTGCCAAATGAAACCAGTCCTGATCAAACCGTGCCAGATCATAGAAAGTATGCATACCTTGTCTCCCACTGCAAAGCATAAACAGAAATGATTTGACCCGCGGCTATGAAGAAGCCCAGCGTCAGGCCCATGTTGCGTATAAAGGTGTGGAGCCAGAAGTCAGTGGAGTTCATCCCATGGCCAGCTTTCGGGCTTTGATTAAGTTGCCACGCTTGGTTCGGGCAAGAAGCTAGATACATCTGCCTCATCTCAATCTCGCTGACGTTGAGAGCTGCCAAAAATGGTTGTCGCGCAGGGCCTCCCATCTCCATGATGATGTCCTCACCATAGTGGCATATGGGGGCTAAAAGGACTAGACCGGCCTGCGCTTGGCTTCTGGTTCTATTTTCTGGAAGTCATCATGTCAGCTACAGCTGCAGCGCATCTGCTCTCAGAACCTGTCTCACAACACCTTGTTTTCGCCACCTGCACTTTTAATCCGCAACTCTTGATCAATGATTCAAAAAAAACCGCCCACAGTCTGTCGCTTCTCTTCCCCGCCTTGGCAGCTGACACTCTCTCAAGCCCGTAGTGCGCAATCACTTCGCTCAAAGCCTTGTTGGTTGCATCTTCATCCTCCTGGCTCTGGGATTCGGAAGGAGCAAACGCATGGTGCATGCTTAGTTTTCTGGACCTTGCCCATTGCAATTCCTGCATGTACTCGTTGGTCATCACACCGTCCTCAAACATGTGCTGCGTCAGCATCTCTCTCCACGACCACTGGACGGCCCTGTGGAACCTTGTGCTGAACCTGGCCAAAGGGCTGATCTGCATCAAAGCGGCCTGTTTGTGCAAGAGCCTGTGGTATTTTCGCTCTCTCGCAACTGGCATCCTGGGATGTTTGGAAAAAGCCGTATGGGTCAACTTTGTTATGACCCGCGTAAACTCACGAGCAGCCACTCAAAGAAAAACAAATGAAGGCGGCAAACAATCATTGCAAATGCAAAACGAGCAACCCAAACATCCTGGGGTCCATTCTGCAGGGCTCTATGAAGTACTGAGATCCGAGAAGGCGTTGCAAAGTTTCTGTTGGGAATTGGTCAACGTTTTCCAGCGTAGCCTCACTCTCACCGACCTCCAAGCGCAGTCCGACCCACGCTAATAAGCTTAGAACATTGGCGTCGGCTAAGCCGAGCTGTTTTCCTTGCCTCGAGTGCGCGGTGCACGAGCTCCCAGCCGTCTGCTGGCGAGCAGTCCTCAGAAAACATTGCCTTTGGTGAACCAAGCAATAGCTCTTCCTTTTCATGGCTGCACGCTGGCTCATGATTGGAGCCAAGACCTCTACGGCCATACTTGGTTTCCTCTTGAGTTCCTGTATGATATCATTCAACTCCGGCCTGAAAAATGCAGTGATGTCTCCGAAAAGGCAACAGTCAGGTTGCCCCAATCCCGCAATGAATCCTTTCAATTCTTCTTGGCACTCTTTGTCCCATTCGATGAAGGACAGGAGCCGCGGCTGCCGAACCTTGCCAGCTGACGGTTTGCTGTCAAGCCAACAAGAAAAAAACAGACTTGAAGAGTAAGCGATTGAATCATCAATCATTAAGAACATCCTCATCACTTGTCCTGCACCCGATGTTTCCCTGTCAGAACCGCAATCCTACACCCAACACTACGAACTTCTGAAATTCTAGAGAAGGCTCAAATGACTTTTTTTGCTGCGGGCATGTATGCGAAACCTTGCCTTCGTCTCGGGCATTCTTGCTTGAACAGCGCGGTGTAAGCCCAGCAAAGCTGTTTCAGGTGCTGCCACACCTGTAAATGCTGAACTGTGTGTCGCCTGGTCAAGCCATTCTGCTAAGTCACTCAAGGTGCAAGTTGCTGCATCGAACAAGTTGCCGTTCCTCTCGTCAGGGTCTCGTGTCAAAACTTCATCCAAGAAATCATCATAAAAGGACGCCGCCTCTGCGAAGGACTTGGTTTGCTTCTCAGTCACCCAGCTAGGCAAGCCGTCCGTTCCCGGAACCAGTGGCTCATCGTCGCCCTGGCGTTTCGAAAAGGCAAAAGGAGGGTCTGCCTTTGCCTGGGCCCCTTCGAGGTGAAAGTCACGACGCATTTTCACAGCCTGCTCCAAGCAGTCTGGGTCTGCCTCCTTTCTCCTAGCCGTCCTCTTCCTAGGAGACATGAGATGTTCTTGCGCTTGCTCAACAGCCACTCCTGTGGGAAGCCGGCAAATAGATGGCGAATATCTGTGGTTATGGCATCACATGTGAACATGTTGTCAATGAGTGAAGCACCTGAAGTACTTCCTTTCGAATAAACAACACCCACATCAACTAACCCAGGCCCCATAACTATAAAAGGAAAACATCGTTGCTTTTTGGCAATTTTGCCTTGGCTTGGCTCGACAAACTTCTCAGCACGTTTGGTTCCGCTTGAACATGCCGTCGAAGACGCAGCAACTGGAGCAGGTACATTCTCTGATGCGCCCTTCTGCACTTCGGCCCTTTCACCTTCACCCCCTTGGTTTCCTGGAGCCGGTTTCGCCTTTTTCTGCGTCAAAGGCACATCATCCTTCGAGGTGTAAGTGGAATCGGTGGAGAACCTGTACCAGATCTCCTGCGCTAACCCCAACCCACAAGAGATTGAAGCAAGTGTTCGTTACGTTTGTAACCTAGGGGAGCTATCCCAATGCCAATGACGCATGCTTTTATCTGTGCAACGGCTGTGGCCATGGTTTCCAAAGAAGATCTGGCGAATCTGGAGGGATGCTGAGATGCAAAAAGCTATTTGGAACACACGGCCACACCCACAAAAAGGTCTCGTTCCCAAATCACAGTCCTGGTTTCCACTCGGAAGGTACCGTGGAGGGTTGAACACAAAGCCAAGCTCCAGCTCCCAAGCATAACAGCCACCAGTGTCCCTTTTCCAACTCTTACGCATTTTTTCATACTGTTCTGGTGAAACCTTGTGGAAATGATAGAACTGGTCAAAATCTTCATGCCTGATGAAGTGGTGACCTTGAAAGATGGCAGTTCCAACAACTTCCAAAACAGACTGTCCGTTGATGTTCTTCCCTTGTCCTTTGGGAGGAACTCGGAGGAGATAAAACTCTTCAAGTTTACCAAGACATTGACAGGCAGTGTTGCGAATTTCATACTTCTTCTCACCAGCAAGGATCTTGTCCATGTGTACACTGTGGACTATAAGCCCTCTCATTCTGG